CTGGACTTGATGATCTTCCGAGGTCCCTTCCAGCCCTACTGTCTATAACTCTATAAGGTGAAAGCTCACCCATGCCATAGAAGGCTTTCCCAGGGAACTGGTCCAAGACTGTATCATGAACTCTTCCAGGAACTAAGGACCATCACAAGTCTCCCCACCTCTCCACATGCAAAGTGCATTTCCCTGATCTCCCTTTCTCCAAACACTAACGACTAAGCAAACCTAAATCCCCATCAAAACAAGACACTGCTGTACATGCTCTTCCCACTGTGTAAGTGGATGAGACCAAACCTGACAGATGCGCAGTCACAATGTATTTCCAAAAGACACGAATACTCTGGTAATTCACACACTATAACCTAAAACAGAAGAGAACTGAACCCCTTTTTTACTGTGTAGCAGATTACCATTCCTTCCGTGTGTTGGCATTTGTCAGATGGGCTGAAATTTGGTCCTCCAGCTGAGCAGAAGGCAGACAATTAAACCAAGTGGGAGCGCTGGATGTTTTTATGCGGATCCCCAGAAGCAAGAGGAGAGGTCTGTCATGTTTTTTGTGCTAAACCAACCTTCTCTCAGTTTGTGTAACGTTTTATTTTGATTGGAGAAAAGAAGAAGCATTTTGATAAGTTAGAAGATGAAAAGTCTATTTATATTTTTTAATTAACCATGTTCTACAGTGTTATTAAGCAGCAATCAAAGATGCAGATGGTACTGATTTGATTGGCAAGAAGTGCACCATGCTGAATATTAAGGATCTCTGCCCCTATAAATAGGTCTAATCACCATCTGAAGCCTGGAAGGAAATGATGGGAAAAAAAAAAGCATTAATAAGGCTGTAATTAGGCCCTACAGCAGCCTGCACTCTGCCATGACTCTCACATTCCCACAGACCTCTTGAATTTTAGCTCTGGAGCCCACTACCTAAGAGATACAGGTCTCTGATTTAGGTTTCAAGACCCCCACTTGCCAACTTCAGAGACCAGAGTCCAAGCATGGGCTTCTTCTATCTTTGGAAGAACTATGGCCACCCATGTTCTGAGAGGAGACATAGCCCTTGTGAAGAAGGATTTTGTTCCCCGGCTCCTTGTCCAAAGAGCAGCACTGGAGAAGTGTGCTGTCAGACTACAACTCCAGCTGTGCCTGCCTTGCCCACTCTCCATGAGCTAATTAAACTTGGCAGCCCAAACTCCCTGGCCACACAGGCAGGCAAAGAAAGCAGACAGCTGGAAAGCTTTAGAGGATAGTACTACCTCTCCAACTCAGAGCAACCTATACCAAGGCTGAGCTACAAAAAGCCACATCCCCACCTTGCTGCAGCGTCAGGGCTCCTCCCTGCACATCCCAGTAGCAATGCTACCATCCCCAGCCCTGTGCTTATGAAGTAAGCAACTTCAACAGTGCTAGACCCTGGCGCCAATAAGCACAGTTGTCTTCCTGCATCCTGTCAAAAAAGCAAGTCACCCTTTCTGCAGGAGCACACAGCCAAATAGCCACCGCATATTGGTAAAATCCAAGCAGCAGAGTAGCCCATCTCTTTGTAAAAAGGGAGTCAGCCCCCGACTCCCACCTCTCCCCTTCCACACACACAGAATGCTACAGCCCAAGGCCTCAGGAGAGGTGGGCTACTGAAAAGCTTACCTTATTATGCAGCAGGACTCATGGACTTTGTGTGCATCCCACATAGTGAATTCTCCCTTGCCACAACCATGCCTGTGGTTCAGAAGGGTGGGAAGGTTGTGGCTAGCTTTTATGAGGCAGGTTGCTTGGTTGTTTTAGGTCAGGCGTGCTCAACCTCCAGCCCATGGTGCTGTGTCATCCCTGGCCCACAAGGCTTCCCATGGGTCTGGAAATTTGGTGATGGGAGAGTGGTGCCACTGCTACCCTGCTGCCAAATCTCTGGACCCAGGAGAAGTCCTGGGCCCTGTGTGCTGGTTCTGATGCGTGATCCCTGCATGCAGATCCAGGTGGGGGCACTATTGGGACCTAGGGCCCAGTCCCTGTGTGGGGGACCAGGTGCCAGCTACCCTGGACCCAATCCTTGCGTCTGGGGTCAAAAGGGGGTGGTCCTGCGCCCTAGGGACCCAATTCTGGCACGTGGGGGATGGAAGGGGATGGTACCAGGCCCCCAGGGCCCAGTTCCAGCACGCAGGGCAGGGAACAGGCCGTACCGGGTCTCAGGGCCTGACCCAGCCTGCAGATAGGCCCGCCCCTCACCTGGCCTGCAGGGCCAAAAGGTTGAGCACCACTGTTTTAGGCTATTAAAGCAGTACAAATGGGAGGGAGGGACTAGTTTAGCAGAAATCCCTACCTAATCCATATCTAAGCGACAGACTGCTCCCCTAGTCCTTGCTCAACATTCCCCAGGGAATGGGGTTCTGCTGCTTCCACAATTACATCCACTTCCACAATACTTGCAATGTCAGATGAAAAGCAGAAAACCTTAAACTCCACGGTACTCTAGGTCACCACTGAATGCTACTGCTGCTGTACAACAGGTTTTATGGAAGGAACACTGCATGTACATGCTTCCTCCTCCAGATCACCTGCACAATGGCTTCTACTCCTCTACACACAAATCCCATTATTTCTACAACCCTTTACCAGCAACCACTGCATCTGGGTAAAGCAGGGAAAACATGAACTGGCAGGACTTTAAAATGCCAAGCCCTCTTAAATGAATCTATCTACATGCTGGAGATTGCTTCCAGTCCCATCCAACTGAGTCAGAGGGTTTAGATAAAATGCTCACAGTCTGAGTAAAGCTGAGCAAAAACAAGACCTTAACCACCAGGAATGTGATGCCAGAAAAAGAGAAACTCAGGAGAATATACATGCCCATGCACATTTGGGAGCAGCACACTGTCATATAAGCTGCCATCCAAAGTCGGTGGTGTTTCAGTTTGCTAAACTTATTAATTTCCAATACTGAAGTGGCGATATGGGGGTGGATAGTAAGAAATAGGTATCATGCCAACTGGATTCAGGTAGGTTGGCTGGCTTTAAAGCAAAAGCTAAAGTACCTCCTGTCATTACCAACATGAAGGACTAGATTTGGGAAAGGGGTAAGGGAAGAGAATGTGCTCCTTATCAGAACTGCCCCTCTTCTGCCCTTCCTGCCCCTAGCAATGATACATGCAAAGCGGAACAACCAAGTTACCAATGTCAGGTCAGCCTTGTCCCACTTCTTTCTGAAAACACACTTACCTGTGCAGGACCCTTGTGGAACACTTGGGGGCTTTGAGGGAAACCCCTTGGCTGCTAGGCCATCACAGCCCTACTGCAAGAGGGAGTCAGCACTTCTATTGATCACATCCTTTTGCAACCCAGGGCCCCAAAATCAATGCTTTTACTGCTGCAGCTTAGCTACTGACCAAAAGGGTCACATGACTCTATGACCCCATTCAACACAGCAACATTAGGATCACAGAAAAGTAGGGCCGGAAGGGACCTAATAAGGCCATCTACTTCAGCCCCCTGCTCAAGGCAGGATCATCCCTGACTTAAGCCATCCATGCCAAGTGTGGGTCTAATCTGCTTTTGAATGTTTCCAAGGATGGAGATGCCACAACTTCTTTAGGTTGCCTTTTTCAACAGCTGACTATCCTCATAGTCAGAAAGTTTTTCCTAAAAAAGCAAGCCAATGAAGGCAGTGAAATCTTGGGATAAGGGTTCAAGTCGCCTCTGGCTCAGCATGGCCTACAACCCAGGTCTTTTACTTCCTGGATGAAGACATTAATCACCAAGGTATTGCACAAACAGAAGACAGCACGAATTGGGAAGGCAGGTACACAAATAAGAGCACCCCAAGACAAGGGTCTTGAACCCAGGAGCTTAAGACTAGAAATCCAGCAGGCTAGCCACTGGGCTACAGCAACTGACCCATTATTGAAGTATTAATAACATATTATTATGTTTAATAAGTGTTTTAAAATAATTATTAAAGAATAAATATGCATGAACTGGAAGATTTGGCATACAGCCAGGAATGTTGTCTCTTTGGGTCAAGAAACAGGTCTCAAAATGGGTTAACATGCCTATGAACTTGGCAAATATATCTACTAATGGAGTCAAACTTTCCCCCCTGCAGCACCCCGGACCAACCCCACCTATGAAATGCCCTTACATTGTATTGGTTTTGCTGTCCCATCCCCCTCATGATTAGGGCTGAGGAGGATGCAAACTCTTGAGTTCCTGGTGTCCTACCTTTCTGCTCACACGTGGCAGCTCTCTCTGGAGATGGGAGACTGTCTGTAATGCAATTTGGATCACAAAAATCCAATGAGATTAACTCTCCCGAAGATTTACTTTCAAATAAATAGCTGCACAGCAACAGAGATAAATACCAAGGGGGCAGTTATGTGAAATGCCATTACATTAAATTCTTAGGTAAATAAAACTCTATGGCAGAGGCTAAATGAATTTCAGAAATGTGCTTTAATCATAACTGCTCTGTCATTGAAGACAGACTTTGATGCTACCTCCTTCCACCACAGCAGGTGAGGGGCTTCCATCCCAGATCCCAGTCCATCTAGCTGGCATCTAGAGTGACACTTAGGCACCATCCTATCCCCACACCCTTCAGGAGTCCCTGAAAAATGTTAACACATAACATGCCTTCATCTCAGTCTTAAGGTAAAGTCACTGGAAGTGGCAAGGAGGAGGAATACCTACCCACCTTTTGCATTAGCAGTTTTCTCAGAGTCCAGGGTTATAGCCTTTGCCTCTGTCCTTTCACCAGATTGTCCAGTGTGAGGCGTCTCATCTGCGCCCATTTCCAGACAGGCCTAGGATACGTCTAAAGGCTCTGCGATATCTGAGGCGTCCTGGGAGCCATCAGCCATGTTGAACCATCTCAGCTGGAGAGCTGAAATGCTCAAGAACAGACCCACAAGACCACCTTGGATTCAGCAAAGAAAAATACTCCTCGATTTTAATATCATCACATATAGGCATTAATATATACTGTACTTACTTGATTCCAGGAAAAGTTTTTTTTCTCCCTCATTTAAACAGGGGGGAAAAAGTTTTTTCCATCTTGGAATCAATTACAGGGTGGTGTGCCCCCAACCCCCCCCCTGCAGACGCAGCCTGCCCCCCCATCACCTCTGTACCCCCTGCTTCTCCCCCTCACAGCCTTAGGCCCCTGACCTCCCCCCACTGCACCATCTCTGGCCCCCTGCAGCACGGCCCCATCTCTGCCCCCCTGCAGCCTCAGGGTCTCCCCTTCCCCCACTCTTTGCCCTCCCCACCACCACAAAGCCTTGGGCTCTCCCCTTCCCCCATCTCCCCCCCACACCAAAGCCTCTGTCCACTATCTGCTTCTCCCCTTCATAACATCTTACCCTTGCTCTGAAGCAGGCAGGTCCCATCCCTAATGTAGCCTGGAGCACAGAACAGAGCCCAGGCCCAGCCTTGCCATACTGGCATGGAGCCAGCACCTCTGCTACAGGGACAGGCTGGGGTCGTGCTCCATGCCCAGGCTGAAGCAGGGATGGCACCTGCTGATGTGGAGCAAGGGTAAGCAGTGGGGAGGCGCACGGGGAAGAGGGATGCAGAAGTGGCATGGTGGGGAGACAGGGGGGGAATGAAGGAAAAGGGGGATAGAGCTCAAGACTGCAGGGGGCAATCACAGGAGGACTAAGTATGGAGGGGTGACAAGTAGCAGGGGGAAAGCTACCTGCCCCCTCCACACCACCTTCCCTACTACTACTTGCCTTCCACTGCGCCTCCTACAACCTGCCCTTTACTGCATCCTTCTCCTGCCCCCCCACTACTGCCCATGCATCACCTGCCCCATTACTGCCTCTCACTGCTTACAGTGGTGGGGGGCATTTAAGACAGTCCTCCAATAATTAGATTCTATACGTGGAAAATTATAACAAATATATATATTTTCCATGTGTAGAATCTAATTATTGCAGGGCTGTCTTAAATTCAGGGCAATCCTGGTTTCAGGTAAATATGGTATTTTGGACATGGCAGCACCTCCCCAAAACAAAACAGCCAATGACTTTTTCCAACCCAATGGGAACTGACTTTTTGGTACAACAACCAGCTCCAGTCTCATGCAGGAATTTTGTAAGCTCCTACCCTCTTCATTTCCTGTCCCATTTCCCTCCCACCCAGATGCAGCCAGTATCCCATACTACTTGGTCCCTACAAAAATAACCTAATATGCTACAGTACCTGTTTTCCCCACCGTTGTGTTGCTAAGGCTCCAAAGAGAGCATTTAAGAGAGTTTTCTATCCAGTCTAGTCACATTAGACCCATTAAACCTGGAGTATCAAAGATATGGCCCCCAGGTGGAATCCAGCCTGTAGAGACTATCACCTACCACTAAACTTCTAGCTCCAGAGCTCCTCTGGGGACAAATATCAGTGGCAGGGGCAGGGGGCAAGCATCAACTGCATTAAATTCTTGTGCCGCTGCTGCTCACCCCATTGCCAGGTCTAAATCCAGTTTGCAAGGCTCCTTGTGGTCCAGATTCAGCTCATGTGGAGACCTGTGGATCTAGCCTGGTGAGTTTGACACCCCTGCATTAGGCCAATTCTGCCAACTTTGTATACTCAGCAGCAAAAGGCAAGCTTGTGCTTCTGAGAGAAGATACAGCAACAGCTGGGAAACCCTGAGACAGAAAGAAAACTAAGTTCTAGAAGAGGAAACTTATTCAGTACTGCCAAAGCTAGCCAGCAGGAACACCCCAACAGGGTGGCTTGTGTGGGAGGAACTGTTATTCCTTTAACCCAGCTTTGTGTCACCCTGGAAATCAATAACCTAAAAAAAAGAGAGACTGCAGGATGGACTGTTTCTTGGCAGAAATTTTCTCATGAAAGGGTCAGAGAGGAGGCGATTAACAACAGAAAGTGCTTTCAAGCGATAAAAACGATTCTCTTCAAACTCATCTACCATGGCCACAGGATACAGCGTTTCATTCCATCTGAACAGCTCCTCTCAGACGCACAGTCCTCCTCTTCTCCTGCTTGCTATCTTTAATCTTCTGAAAGCACCTGCCTTGCTCTTTCAGGCTTATCTCAGCACTATTTTTTCCCCAGACACCGTTCTTTACCTACAACTCAGGCAGAGCGTGCAGGGACTGCAGTTACCCAGCATTACCAGAGACTGCAGAGAAGTTCCCAAGGGATTATCTGCTTGCAGTTTTCCTGCCACTCAACTCTGGGATTCAGGAAGTAAAAGCAGCATTTTTTTTCATCTGAAAGGATGAATATTAACTCAGCCAAGCAGATTTTTAAACTCTGAGTGACAGAAAGAGAGAAGACACCAAGGCTGGCAGTCTAAGCTACTTTTAGAGCTGCATACACAACAGGAATTGTCCTGCCAGACAGGACCCCACCTGAAGATGATGAAGGAGCACCCATGTTGTGATATCAGGGTTCGGGAATTCTCACCTACTTGCAAGTGGCAGCTCTCTTCATGGAGCTCAAGCTTTCATGATCAAGTCCATGCAGCTTAAGGTTGTGCCCAAATAGCTATGGATGCTTAGATAGCAGTCCAAACCTGGTGCGAGGGTCCCTGCGACGCAGCACGCTCCTCCTGAGTCTGCAGATGGCACCCGTCAGTTTATCCCAGTTCATAATTTTGCCAAGCAGAGTGCACTTAGGTACATGCTAGACAGTTTAGCAGCTGCTTTTTTGAGAACTTTATGAGCATCAATGAACCTGACAAGAATGTCAATTCACACTTTTGCCCCTTGGGAAAGCTCTGAGCAGCTGCTGAAGGGCTAGCACTGCAATCCCTGAACCTCACTAGTAGTGCTCTCCCCTCCACCCACAATTCATATTTGCCTCTTGATAGTAAGTGCTTGGAGAGGTCCCCCCTTCCACCTTGCGTATGAGCAATGAGCTGGAAAAATCCTGGATGTGCAGGAGCCCTGGAACAGGGAACAATAGCAAGACCCACTTCAGGCCATGTTTCTAGGAGCTCAAGAACGGGAAACATTCCCTGGTTGTTTTTTTTTTCCTGAAGAGTGTGTCACCTTCTAAATCCTTCTGAATCCAGGGAAATGGAGATCAGCCTATAGGAAATATGCACACCTGAGATATGTTTGTAGAGGGGTAGAGTATCTGTAGATGTTACCACAACCAGAGCATGCATAACCTTGAACTGCCATGCAGGCTTGATGGGGCTGGAAGCACAGGCATTATTGGTAGAACAAACCTCCTTGTTCATATAAACTGGACCCAGCTGGAGAAGAGGGAAAAAAAAAGAAAGTAGAGAGGAATTTAATTAAGGCTTCAAAATGTTGACTGAAATTCAAACTTGGGGGAGAGGGGGAAAGGAATTGTTCCAATTTGATCAATATTAACAAGCTCTAAGATTTAGTCTCTCACCTTCATTAAGAGGAAGATGCAAGAGATTTCAAGTGAATAAAGCACCGGAACGACTGCATCATCAGCATCACTTCACACAAATTCCCAACCCCAAAGCACTGGGAGAAAACTGGACACTCGTTTCTGTAGCTGTGTCACACAGGAGAGCTGTTGTTGTGGAAGATCCACTTTAAAGAAGAGAGCAGATCTAGCAGCCTAGGGACTAGTATTCTTCTCCAACCACAAAGTCTCTCTGAGGTGCGCCTGTATCTCACCTTCTACCTGCACCAGATCCAGCTGCAGAGTGACCCCATGTACTAGTGTGTTCCAGTGTCCAAAGCCATGTCATCTGACCTGCAGGGCTCCTCAGGGGTCTGGAAATTTGGCAGTGGAGGAGTGGTGGCAGCATTAATTGCCAAAGCTCTGGGCTCTGCCATAGCAGTTAATGCTGCCATCACTCCCCCACTGCCAAATTTCCAGACCCATGGGAAGCCTCGCAGGCTGGATGACATAGCTTCGCAGGCTGGATCCAGCCTGTGGGTCATAAGTTGTATACAACTGCCTTCCTCCCTCCCTCTCCACATCTTTAAAAATGACTCTGAAATAATGACAGGACTATGGCAAGTGCAGAAAGAGCTGTGTTTGATGGCTGACCGGGGAACTATACAAGTAAACAGAACCCACAATGCTGAAAAACAAGCCTCAATTATTTTCTTTGCACATACAAAAGCTCAAATTGGTTACGCCTGGAAGGAGTAAGGCAGAGAGCAGATCACATCTGTACTCCTGCCAAAGGCTTTGGAGGGGCAGCAGAGCAGAACATAGTCAGTGAGACCAGGAGGATTGGTCGACAAGTGTGAAATAACACAGAAGAGCCAAAGGAATCAATGGGAATAAAACCAAAAACAAGTCAGTGCAAGCAATGGGGTTTGAAATGGGATCTATATTCCTCTGGGAACTGTCAGGCCACAAGAGGAGGAGAAAAAAGAAGCAAGATAGGTCATTATCAGATACAGCAAGGATACAATCCAGAAAAAAAGCCAGAAGAAATGTCAATGACATAAAGGATCCTGTGACCAGCCCCACAGAGAGGTCTGCTGGGCAAGTGTCACTGGAAAGGAAATGCTGCAGCAAGAGAGGGGGCAAGAAAGCAGAGTAAGGATAAGCTGGCCCAAAGAATACAAGCTAAGCTCCACAGAGTGTCAACATCTAGTGTAGTCTTCAGTATGGGGACAGGGGAATCCCTAGCATAGGAAAATAATCAGATGGTGAATTTTATCCTCAAGACAACAAGGCAGTGCGTCAGGGAAGGCACCTCAAGGACAGTGTAAAAACACTGATCAGGCAAGACTCTCAGAGCCAAATGAGAGAGATCTGAAGAGAAGTTATCTGAGGGGCATTTGGAGGGGCTGAACGTGTTTAAGTCAGCAGGCCTGGATGATCTTCATCCAAGGGTGCTAAAGGACTTGGCCAGTGTCACAGCAGAACCACTGGTGAGGCTGTTTGAGCACTCATGGCACTCAGGTCAGGTCCCAGAGAACTGGAAAAGGGCCAATGTGGTCCCCATTTTCAAGAAGGGCAGAAAAGATGATCCGGGTAACTACAGGCCGGTTAGCCTCACCTCTATCCGTGGGAAAACCTTTGAAAAAATTATTAAGGATCAGATTTGTGGGAGTTCAGTGGGGAAAGAAATGCGGCCCCGTGTGGGGAGTGCACAGGGGTGCACCTGCACCCCCTGAGAGTGCCAGTGCACCCCCCTGCCAGGCTGTGTTCCCCATTTAGCTGGCGGGCAGGCGGAAGCACCAGTGCCCCCACTGCGAGTGTCAGCCGGGGAGCGGGGCCGCCAGCAAAAGCAGCTGTGCCACTTCCAGAAGCGGCCATGGGACTTCCAGAAGCAGCGCGGCCACTTTTACAGTGAGTGTTATCGGCTGCGTGGGACACCCCGCGGTCAACAGGATCAGCCGCCAGGGGACCAGGATCAGCCACAAGAGGAGGGCTACTTGTACGGTTAGGGCCTGAAGGTAAGATCCTACGAGGAGAGATTGAGGGACCTGAATCTCTTCAGCCTCTGCAAAAGAAGGCTGAGAGAGGATCTTATGACCATCTACAAATTCATTGGGGGGGGGCAGCAAGGAATAGGGGATACTCTGGTTATAAGGGCACCCCTTGGGGTTACTAGGAACAACAGCTATAAACTGATGGAGAGCAGATTTAGATTAGACATTAGGAAAAATTTCTTTACAGTGAGGGTTGCCAAAATCTGGAATGGGCTTCCAAGGGAGGTGGTGCTCTCCCCTACCTTGGAGGTCTTTAAGAGGAGACTAAGCAAGCACCTAGCTGGGGTCATCTGACCCCAGCGCTCTTTCCGGCCAAGGGCAAGGGGTTGGACTCAATGATCTACTGAAGTCCCTTCCAGCCCTAAACAGCTATGAAATCTATGAGGTCTTGCCAAGAGAATGGGGTTCAGATGGATCTGGTGGCAGAGTCTCTATTCACTGGCTTATGTCTCATTTCTAGCCCTTGAGCCCTCTTAATACAGAAGCAAAGAGAACAGGCCATTCAGCTGTTACTGCTATCATGAATTGCTTCAGGGAGCAAGGGAAAGATCTTTAAAAGCATATATCCCCCGCTTTTCTCCCTTGTCTATGTCTGAGTTCAAAAGCATCACCTTTGATGCTGGAAACACTGACAGACTGGCAGGGAGAGAGTTGAGTATTTCTTTCTTTACAAGGAGTCCCAAAGAGCAAGCAGGTTAGCTCTTTCTGCTTCCCAAACAAGTTGAAGGAAATGACCAAACATAATTAAATACATATCATATCAAGCAGACTGAAAGACCCCCGGTCATCCTTTCCAAATCACAACAGCTGAAGCAGAGCATGAGAGGGTAGTAATACCAGAACAAAATCCATGCAAAGGGACACTACAATGCAGTAAGTCTCTTGAGGGAGACACCAAAGTTAGTTTGCTTCTAGACCTTGCAGGGGGCCAAGGAAATGATTTCTAGTCTGTTCCAGAGCAATCCCTGCACTCTTGGAAGACCAATGTTTCAAGGAGTTGAAACAGATACAGAGCCTCTCAGTTTCCCATTTTTCAAGACACTTTCACCAAGACTGCAAGTCATTACCAATGATGGCTGCCAGGCAGTTTAAGTGAAAGGGGCAGACGCTTCCTCAGCCCGACAAAGGGCTTTTGTGCCTAAAAGCTTGCTAAGAAGAATTTTTCCAACTATTTAGTGGGCTAATAAAAGATATTGGATTTACCCAAAGAACTTTGTCTGCCTAGGGGCTTGTGGTCTCACTCCAGCCTGTAGCTGAGGAACGTTTACATCATGTGAAGCACAATGACAGCATGCGCCAATGGGAACCTTGGTTGGTACAGCAAAAAGACAAATGGGTTGGGAGAACCAGCTTGTTCTTCCTTAAAGTACACAAGTTTTACTATTTGAAGAACAATTGCAGTGCTGTAGGAGAGATAACGGCACTGAACATACCAACTATTCTTGGAGTCTTGGTGAAAGTGTCTTGAAAACTATTCACTTTATAAAACCTCATCACGAAAGGTTTGTGCACGTGGAGAGGAGGGAGATGATGGACTGTGCTTAGTACTAAGACTAGACAGCCCTTTTTTTTTTTTTTACAGTATTCATTATGCTGGTCAGCAGTGCCCCCCTGCATACACAGCCAGGTTCAATACCGCTGCAATTTTATCACCGTTGGCTGACTCATTCTTCATTTTGAACATCAGAGAATTTTAGTACAATCAATGTATTTCACCACAACAGCATTTGTGTTCATTTTACAAACACTACCAATGCATTTTTATTTGACAAATAATTGCCCCTCCACAGCTAACCGTGACAAGAGCAGTGTGTATTTTAGTCAATGGTTTGAAATAGTCCTTTAAGCACAACGCACATTTAACATCAACATTTGTATTGTAACGTGTGTGTGCGTGTGTGTTGAATAAGAATTAATTATTTTGATGCAATGCAGAAATAAAAGTTAAGTTTTGCATAATCTAGTGGCATTCTTCCTATTAGCTGACTGGTTAGGAGCAACTGCTTGACATACAGATGAATAACTATTCTGGAAGATTATACATCACAATGCTAATGCAAACTAGCATCTGACTTTCTGGATAATGACAACTTAACTAGCTCACAGCCTGTAGTCCCTTCCCTTGTCCCGCTCTACCTCCCACCCTTCTGGGCTTTTCCTTGGTAGACTGCATTCCTGACAACCTGTTTCAGATCGATTTCCTTCTCTACCATGACGAACATACACAAATCACAATACAAATACCCTTCAGCTTTCCTCATTCCAGGGGTTCCGCAAAAGCCTCAACGCCCCCACTTCCCACACACAAACTCCAACTCAAAGCTGTGACACCGCATTGCACCCACTATAGGGTTTAAAACAGTAGACTTCACAATTCATTTCTAAGGAATGAAAAATGGGATGTAACAAAGCATGTTCAAAATTGGTCATCCAACCAAACAGGTTACACTGAATGAATCTTACCACTATTTCATATTACCAGGCATCTCCAAGGCTCAAAGAAATCATAGATATGCCAAGTCTATCACAGCTAGAAGGCATTTTGATTCTATGTAAGACATGTTAGAGCTTAAAACAGTTTGTTAAATACACTCCTAGTGCCCTGTCCATAGCTCTTTGCTTGCCTCAGATCCAACAGGGAGGTAATGTTTTAGTTCTGTGGCACCTTTTGTGCTGGAAAGTCCCTTCAAAATGTTCTCTATCCCCAAGGAAATGTGATCACTGTGCAGGAGATGATAGTGCCTATGGCTCTGGAGGGAAGGCCAAAAGCCCGCTGAATGCAGCGGTGCCAGGCACCGGGTCAGTCTGAGGCACTTAACCGGATTCGCATTTTCAGCCTCTATGTCTCCCCTTCCTAGAATGAGACTCTAGCTTGGAGGGTTGTAAAGGAAAGCCTTCCAGCCTGGAGGCAGGCATGAGCCCAGGCGGCACTGAGGCAGCGTTATCATCCACCTGTCCTTGAAGACCGGCTGGACCTGCTAGCTTGGAAGGCGTCCTCCCTTCACTGCAGTGTCCTGGTATTGCCTACACGTCGTCCCCTCGCTCTTCCATCAAAGCAAGGGGCACAGGCACTGAGACCCTCAACCCCTCCTGCTTGCAGAGGGAGAGACCAGGACACAGAGCGCCAACGCGACCTGCCCAGGCAGAAGCAGGGCACGGGTCTCCTAGCATGAAGGTCACTGCCACAGCCTGACAGCTGGCCCTTCATGAACCTAAGTGGCATGAAGGGGCATGGGCACAGGATGACTGCGTGAACAAGGAGCCAGGGCAGCCGTACATGGGCCTGACGTATGCCCACAGGCATGCACGCCACCACACACCCAGGCGTGTGCACACATGAACCCATGCATGCCCGCAGACATGTGCATGTTCTCACACACATGCATGCACCCACGCGTGCCCACAGACATGCTCGTGCACGCACGCACCCACGCGTGCTCAGACATGCGCGTGTGCGCACGCGGGGGAACACACGCACACATGTGCACACCTGCTCATCCTGCCACGGGGTCTTACACCGGCGGCCGGGCCAGGGCGCCCCCCGCAGCGCAGGGGGCCCAGCCGCCCCGGGGAACGCAACGCCTCACCTGCCACGGGCGGGACACGTCCCCTCCCCCGCTACTCGCCCCAGGACCCGGCGGGGAAGCGGCCCCCTCCGGCGTTCATTCACTTCCGCCCCAATGAAGCATCACTTCCGCCCCTACTTGGCATCACTTCCGTTTGCGCCTAGGTCCCGCTTCGTTCTAGAACGGTTCTCTCCTCTACAGGCAGGCAGCGTCCCGTAGTGCGCAGGCGCGATTTGGAACGCGGCGGTTTGGCGGCTGCCGGGCTCTTCTGCCAGGGGAGGAGGCAGCGTGCTAGTGGGAGCATGGGGCAGGCTGGGGGCTCTTTGCCCTGGGCAGGGGCGTCGCTCCCCCCCCCGCCCCCAGCAGTGTTGCCAGCATTCACGAGCTGGCCCGTGCAGGGAACAAGGGGCTTATGGGTTTTGTGGCAATATTTACTGTACTGAGCCCATGCAGCAAGTGCTATGGCTGCTCCTAGTGCTGCCACCTTGAAGGGCCTGAGAGGACCACACTGTGCTCCAGAGCCGCGCGTCCCACCTGCTGCCTTTCTCCACAACTTGGGAATGCTGCTGATGCGTGCCTCGAGGTGCACCGTGGCCATACCAACTGCTGGCAAAAGTTCTGCCAAACTGCCTGTGCACCTCTGCACGCTCATGGCACACAGTGCAGCTCTGCTTTGCACCATGACCTCTGGAATAGCTGGCACCGGGTCCAGGAGTATCTATCTACATGGTGGCAGCGGAAGCCTCGCTCTGCGCTGCAGAGAGGCTGTGCCACCGCAGACTGGCTTTGAGCCAGAACTCGGGAGTTTTGCTGGCAGAGCTCTTGTTGTGGAGAAGAGTCACCTGCCCATGCTTCCCTATCGTAACACCCTTCTGCTTAGCTGTAATGAAAGGGAAGGAGGTCACGGAGGTCACGGTCCCCTTGGCCTGGTTGCAACCCTCAGGCTGACAGCTTCTACCTTGACAGGATGTCCCTTATAACTAGGGTAGCCATACATCCCAGTTTGGCTGGGACAGTGCTGTATTTTGTAGGTCCTCTTGGCATCCCAGCCGGTTGGTGAAATTGAAACGAAAGTCCTGGAATCGGCCACCTAACATGATTGCTTCTTTCTCTGCTGACTCTACTGAGCATGAGTGTACAGCAGCAGAGCCAGCCTTAGGGAAAAGGGTGCCCTGGGTGAACTTGTACTTTGGCACCCGTTTCCTCCCTCTTCCACCCAGGTCAGCAGCGCTGCTGCAGGCTGGGGCATGGGGTGCAGTCCAGCAGCAAGGTAGGCAGGCATTGCTGCTACTGTGTGTCATGACCCAAAGGCATGATTTTGTGTGTGCTTTGGCACCATAATTATCCCCCCAAGTTGCAGCTTAATTGCACGGGAGATTTTCCTGTTGCAGAGGAAAGCCCCGGTGCAGGAACAAATTTCCCGCCTTTCTGCAGCTTCTTTTGCAGAGTGCATTGCTCAAGTTGCAAGAGAAATGCACGGTGCAAAAGAGTTCCCGCCACTGGTATGCAAATTTGTTCCCCGCTATTGGCTAAATTTTAATTATTCACCCTTGGGGGGGGACGCTATGACGTGGCGGCTAACGATTGGCCTGTTAGCCGTATAAGAGGCTTGAGCAGTTTCCACCCAAGCCGAAGAGAACTCCACATCCATCTCGTGGGAACTCTGGATACTCGGCAGGGTAATAGAAACCCTGTGTGAGATTCAGAGGAGCTTGGCGATCTAATCCATCGCCCACCTCTTCCCGTCTTCGAGCGCAAATTTTATAAGACGTATCTACGAGTCCAATTTTGGTGGCGCGTTCAACCAGAGCATCTGAAGCTCTGTTCCGTGGAGCCTAGCAAACTCCACGTGACCGTCCGTGTTGTCTGTGTCTGTAACAGCAACTCAAGCAAGTTTTCCAGCCTACACCACTGCCATCTTGGTGTAAGTAAACAATCTTTAAAACTACCGCTAAGCGTTTGTGCCTAATTCCAGCTCGTCGCCCTCCCTCTCCAATCCAGCGTGCCCGGGCTGCTGGCCACAGCCCGCGTGCAGCACGGAAAAGGGCTCGGGTCGCTCCCGGCCCGTACACTGTGCAGGAGCAAGGTGTGCAGACTGTCTCAGGTACCACCCAGCCCACACGTTCCCTGCTTGGCTCCTGAGCAGCATCTGGAGGTGCAGGGGGCCAGCTAGAGGTAGGGGAGCAGGCCAGGCTGGGCACTGCTCCAGTTTGCCCATCTTGCTCCAGCACAGCAGCAACCTGCCTGGCACACCATGCCACTCTTTCACTTGAAAGATAGCGTCTCAGGTTTTCTTTAAAATAATATGGTCATCATACCTATAGCCATCCTTTGTGTTTACATTGCCAACCTTGCTTCTGGATGCCTTTCTGCTTGTCTCTGTCTCAGCTTTGGGGAAAGATGAGAAAGAAGGAATATCTGGCTTGTGCCTTTGCCTCATCTCCCACCAATGGACCTGGGTGATATTATACTGCCTTTTAAAAGTGATGAACATTTGTTCAAATATTTTAATGAGTTCTCATTGGTTATGCTTGCTCCCTTTTCACATAGACACAGAAAGGAAACCTATCTGAGCAAACAGTGTTTGCTGGCACAAACATTCTTGAAAACTGAATCTCAAAGCGGTATGTGCAAATATATTAATCATAATGAAGTTTGAGGGTCCATGTGCAAGTCATCCTGCCAGAGGTGTCTGCATGCACATCTAGGATCAGAAACAATTCCATGCGTCTTATCTAACTGGTTACAACTTAATCAGTGCTATTTGAATAGCAAAGATTAAGTACTACCGAGAATGGTTGATACACAGATTTAAAGCCAGTGCACAGAAAGCAACCCCCCCCCCCCACACACACACACGGATTACTCAAATAATTTCAAATTGTGAATACATTTAAGGAAATCATGATCTGCTCATGCATATTCACAGGGAAAAGGCTAAATTCATTACATAAATTACTTACTGCACATTTTTCACGCTGTTCCATTCATTTGCGGTAGGAACCATTGTCATGAACATTTGTTGCAGGCTAAGGCAGAAAGCATTATTAAATATGAAATTGCAAAGCAAATTAGCAGCCAGCAGCCTAACATTTCATGAGCCCACAAGAGAGGTTAAGTGCAGTGCTGGTGCCTGTGAAGTCTTAATGAGGGGACCAGGCCACTGACCTGTGTAGAGCTTAAAGGGTACTGAAAGGACAAGGAGATAGGGCACAGGGTGAGACTGGGTGAAAATCTCGGAGACAAAGAAGTTATGAGAAACGTAAAAGTCTGCCAGAAACTATGCAGAGAAGGAAAGCAATAAGACCTAGCAGAATCTGAGCAAGGAGCATGTGTGTGGGTGTCAAGACCTGTCAGAAACAGAATAGGGGAGCGGATGTAGAAGCAGCAATCCAATCTATTCTGATCCATTTTTATTTATATACTGCTGATGGAAAGCCCTTCAAGTGCTTTACAATTACTCAGATAAAAATTCAATTCAATACACTCTGGAAATTCAAAGAAAAGAGAGAGGAGTCGGGTGCTGGGTTGGGGCAGCCCCACAGAGAATGAGAGAAGAAAGGTAGTAACAGACCTGCTGCAGGCAGATGGCAGAGAAAGAATTAACAGAATTGGGCTAATAAAATGAAGACTGAGAATCCCAGTATGCCTGAGGGGGGGGCAAGAGAGCAGTAAGACTGGGGTCTACTAAGAACTGGTAGCAGGATTGGCATAATCCCAGTAAAACACTGGTGGCAGGTAGGAAGTAATAATATATTTATCTCCACTACTGATTATGTATCAAAAACCTACCCCCTGGAGACAAGGCTCAGGGAACTGGAAGATATGTTTGGACTGGGCCATTAAAAAAAATCTTGAGGCAAATGAGAAAAGCAGCTGTTTTACCAGCATTTAATTCAGCTAAACAAGCAAGATGACAGGGCTCACATCTGTCTTACTTCATCTCTCTACCCACACAATTTGTCGGCAGATAGAGTGGCATCACTCTCAGCCAGTGAAACAATGGATAAAAATCCATATCTCTCCAGAACAATTTTCTTTGACTGTTTAATGCTCCTGAGGACAGGACCCAGTTACATAAACTGGTACAGAGAGCTGATTAATCCAGCTACAGGCTTCATTCTTCCTGCCAGTACTCTGCATTGGCAAATTTAAGTAAACAAAATAAAAATTGGATAGTATATTGTTCTTTTCCCTGATTAAGGGCATAGTACTGCCCATTGTTTCATAAAATAGGTAAGATATAGAGAGCTCCCTCTCCCTGTGCAATCAACAGGGCCTACTTTTTCTAGAGTGCAAGGAGGTAGGTCTAGCTAATTTGCCAAACCATGCATCACATCCCTGAAAGGGCATTGTCTGTAGGCTAGAGAGTATGTCTGGGCTGGCGTTCAGTCAGCTACTGCGCAAGATGACACCCACAGGACACAAGAAGAGCAGGCCTACTATTTGTAATTTGGGGAGCTGTAAATAGCACCTAACACAGTGCATTGTGACATGCTTTTTCAGCCATCTCACTGCTAGTGGCAGAGTGCCCTTAACCTGTTTAACAAAACCAGTTGTTTGGCCTGATTCTCCAAGTTGGCTGTCCTTATGCTTTGCCTGCTGTGGCTTGTCAGAAACAGAAACCTAACTGGGCACAAGTGGCTGATCTGGAGAAGCTAAAGGGGCACTTACATTTCCCCATGCTTTTTCAGTACTTTCAAAGCTCTCTCTATATAATTATCTACAGGTCTTAGTCTGTCTGCTGGAGTCTCCATTACAGTGATATTTAAACACTTTCACAGAGTCCAGAGTACTTACAATAGACTGGGCTTTTTCCCCCTGTAAGCTTGACTCACTACTGATATCTATACAGAAATCCATCATTCATTTATACTTCTATCATAGACATAAACTCATGTTTAAAAAACAACACTTGCAATTCATTTGGACAATTTTTCATTTTTGTGAAACTGTACCCTTCATCTAGGATGTTTTTTCCTAGGTAAAAAATATCAAATAGCTGAGCACCTTGTTTAATTTGTTCTTTCTGGTGCTGCAATGTCCCTTAGCAAACACAGCCACGTTCAGCAAGTAATACATACTTCTGTTTTCTCAGCTGAAAAATATGAATAATATTGAT